CCCCCCCGCGCCGGCCCGGGCCCCCCGCCGCCCCCCGCCACAAACAGGAGACTAACGGAATTAGAGCTACTTTTACTGAGGCTATGTCTACTGAGTGTGTTTTTTGCGGGAGAGGACATGCAAATGAAGCGCTCATTTGCATATTGTGCACTCTCGTTTGCATATCACATACTCTCATTTGCATATCTTTTTCCGATCCTTTTTGCAGAAGAGGTTTTTGCGATAAAAAGCCCCGTGTAGACGGGGCCATTTGTCGGAAAAAAACCTTTTGCACAAGAGCCTGTAAACCTCATTTTTGGACGAATAAGGCTCTTGCGCAAAAGGGTTTTTTCCCGACAAATGGCCCTGTCTACACGGGGCTTTTTATCGCAAAAACCTCTTCTGCAAAAAGGATCGGAAAAAGATATGCAAATGAGAGCACACAATATGCAAATGAGCACTCCATTAGCATTTCGTCTTCTGCAAAACACAGTGTAGATGTAGACTGAGTGAGAGAGCATATCCCAAAGCACCCTGGGGTGCAGGGAAGGAAACCCTGCACGCTGTGACAGGCACCCACAGGCAATTCAGCCACATGCTACACGGAAGAGGTGAGGTTTTAAAGAAGTGGTGGGCAACCTGCGGACATGCTCAGATAAATGACCCATTTATCATTGTGCCATGAGGGCGGGGGAAGGCCCAGCTGGGGAAGACGAGTCCCAACTCCACCCCTTTCATCTGAGGCTCCGCCCCTTCAGCAACCTCCCTGTCCCGTGGAGCCAAGCCCCACCAGACCCCAGCCCAATGCTTCCTGGCTACCTGATGGGCTGGGGCTGCTGCACAGCCCTCCCCAGTGGCTGGCAAACTGGGCTCCCACGTAGCAGCCCCAGCCTTACTAGGGAGCCGGGCTCTCATGATGCGGCCCCAGCTGGTGCGTCGCGGCCCCAGCCTTTCCCAGTGTCAGGCGAGTGCAGGCAATTTTGGGAAGGCAATGCCTTCCCTTGTCTATATTACCCACCGCCCATTCATTCTGCAGAACTCACTCAAGACTGCTACTTTGCCTTGTTTCTGCAGCAGAGATGGGTAACCCTAAATCTCTGTGCATTAAAGCAGCCTGGACAGGAAGCTGCTTTATAGAGCAGGCAGCTAACTGGGCTTTGCCAGGGCAGCCCTGCTGAGTCCTGATCTCTGCCACAGCTGATCATGGGAGGAATGTCTCTGGTTCCCTGGCTCGCAGACCAGCCAGTCACACGTGTCTTTTACTGAAAAGGCAGGAACCATCTGTTGTCAAGTAGCATTTGTGGGACACAAGCCAACGGTGATGCAATCCGGGTTGTTTCTGTTCAATGGAAACGTTGGGCTCAGCTTACAGAATGTGAGGCCTTGCGAGGAGCTCCATGGAGAACCAAGGGTCTGTTTTTTAACCTTAGGCTTGTCCTAGTCCAAACACGCCTGGCCTCAAAGCATCCGTGTTCTCGCCTCCTCGCAGCAGCCAGCGTGGCTGAATATGGTCACATGAGCCACTCTCCCTGATTAGAAAGGAAGGGTTTTGTTTGCAAAGAGCTGGATTCCTGGGCGTGTAAATGACAAGAGAGGACACGACCTTTCCAAAGGGCTGGGCTTGCTCATGTTAACTGAGGTTTATTTTTTCTGTTGATTCTTTATACTTCTGGGGACTGAGTCTGCTTTCCTTTCTCACTCATTGCAATGGCCCCTATGCTGATATACCGTTTCCTCTCCAGGGTACCCCCAGCCAGAAGTGACCTGGTATAAGGATGATGAGGAGATGGACCGATACTGCGGCTTACCAAAGTATCAGATATTCCGCCATGGAAACCGTCACACCCTGCAGCTATACAGGTAAGACAGAAAGCAGAGAGCATTTGATGGAGGAATCCTCTCTGAGTAACTTGTTTTAACAGAAAGCATAGGGATTATTTACAACAGCCTGAGATATCCGCTTCCAATTGTGTGCATGCCAGTCGGGCCGTGTCTACACTAGGAAACTATTTTGAAATAACTAAATTCGACTTAACTCTTGAAATAACAATATCGAAATAGTGTGTCCCCACTATGGGGAAGCCTCGAAATTTGTCTGAGGCAGGCTCCATTAATGTGGATGTGGTACCTCGACTTAGAGCTGCAGGGAGTAATTAGTTCGAATAACTCTGGGGTGTCATTATTTTGAAATTGCAGCACCGGAGTGTTCATGGTCCTGCTCTTTCAAAATAATGTTTTGAAATTAGCGTTATTCCCTGAGAAAAGCAGGAGTCCAGAGTTTTAAATAAGCAGCCCATTATTGCGAAATAACGGGCTTGGTAGTGTGGAAGCTCTGCTTGTAAATTCTACCGGGGGCGGGGGGGCAGTTATTTCGGAATAAAGCCCTAGTGTAGACCAGTGTCCCTCTAAGCTGCACGGCAGCACAGCCCCACAGTGGATTTATCAGCCCCGCCCAGTCAGTCAGCTCCCTGCTGGGAGCCCTGAGCCTCTGACTGGGTGGGGCTGATTGAACAGCTGCAGGATGG